CATGTAACATAATTTCAACCCTTTAAATCGTACAACTCAGTGGTTTTTAGTATATTCACAAAGTTGTGCAACCGTAACCATCTAACTCCAGAATATTTTCATCACTGCAAACAGAAACTTTGTATCTACTTGTAGTCAATTCCCTCCCCTCCCCAGCCCTCCAGCTCCTGGAAACCACTAATTTACTTTCTGTCTCTATAGATTTGCCTATTCTGGATGATTCATATAAATAAAATTATATAATATGTGGCCTTTTGTGCTTGGCTTCCTTCACTTAGCATAATGTTTTCTAGGTTCTTCCATGTTGTACCATGAACCAGGATGTCCTTTTTATTCCTTTTTATGGCTGAATATAAAGTCATGTGTATAGAGATACCTCATTTTATTTATCTATTCATCAAAATTGCTTTATGAATAATACTATTCATTATGAAAAATACTCTTATGAAGATTCATTTTTTCCTTAATAATTTAAAAATGGAGGTGTTTCTATTAACTTCACAGGGTTGTGTGAGTCTTAAATGAGATCAGTGTGGTGTGGTGCCTGGCACATAGTAGTTTCTCAGTAAAACACTTTTATCTATTTCTTTTTTAGTTCTTTCAACATGAGAAGCAGGAAAGAGACACATTCAGGTTCAAACAACTTCCAGAGACAGTTATGGAACCTCCTGTTTGAGGTGTGGTGCTTGAATTGGGGTGGGTGGAGAGGCGAGAGCTGTTAAGGGAGCGGGACTCTCTCCTCAGGTGTCTGTTTAGTGTTGAAAACAACCACATGTGGCTTTATATTCCTGGACCCCTGTCCACTTGCCTGGAGCCTAGACAAGGTGTTCCTTTTAGAGATGCTGTTCCAACCAGCAGCCAGGGTTTCAGGGTAACCCATGAAAGCAAGTAGAATCCAGCTCCTCCATCTTATCACCTCACTTAGCCTCTCTGAGATTTGGTTTCTTTGCGTCTGTAAAATAGGGTTAATACTCATCTCACAGAGTTAGTGTAGAGTTTACAGTGTTCTCCACAGCACCCAGCACCCTCTGGCTTATTGTATTTGCTTCTTTACATCTCCTCCATGGAATGCAGGCTCCATGAGGGCAGAAACGTTGTTGTGTTCACTGTTCTTTTTCAGTGCCAAGAACCATACCTGACACACAGTAGGTGCTTAAAAAATTTGTTGAATAAGGAGGTTAATTCATTCATTATTCACTCAAATGAATATATTTTGTGGGTTGGGGCTATACTTCATGGTGGGGGGGTCGGGGGGGGGCAGAGATAAGTAAGCCATTTTTTGCCTCCAAGGAGATCTCTTCAAGTGGAAGTCATAGGCCAAAGCAAACATTACATTGCAATAAGACTTGATAAGTAGAATGTGTGCCTTCACATTCTAGCACCTTGCCCGATAGAGGCACTCCTCTCTGAAGGCCTGTCGAATCTAGACCAGACCAGAAATAGATCCCAAGTTATCCAACCGATGCCTTTCCCCATTTTGGCTTCTGGGAGGGATCAAACATTTCCCTGCTGGAGAGGGGAAAGGGGAAGCAGAAAAGGGAGTTTCCTCATCTCCTGGGCTCCAAGCCAGTCAGCCACAGGCAAAACTTTGAAAAGGCCTAAATTGGTCCTGGATGCACTTCCCTCATCTCAGTCCCACCATCCCCAGGCCCCCACTGCCTTAAGACCCTAGATTCCAAAAGTAAGAAAATAACCCCTCCCCCTTACCACAGCCTGAAGGTTTCTTGCTTGACATTGCCACTCCTGGCCTAGTTGCTAGGTGAAACAATCCGATTGAATTCGTTCTTCGCATACTGTGGGAACTGCTTCCTGAGACATCTGTTTATTTTAAAGGAAAGGGGTATCTTGAAGCATAGGCACCATGGCAACAGGCCTCAAGCGAACTCCCTTGGCTGTGCTTGCCTTTCAGGAAGCCTTCCCTTCCTCAGTTTCCTTAAACAGGCTCAGGTGGGTGGTGGTTGATTTTTTTCCCAACATATAGGCCGGTGTTTCAAAGAAGGCCCGGCTGGAACTCACCTTCCCTGACCTGGGCTCCATACCTGCGAGGAGACAGTCTTCTCCTGTCTAACGAGCCGGGCTTGCCGTTTGGTGTAAATACTCTGGTTGATGGACAGGTGTTTCCCAGCTGAGCCCTTGGGAAGATTCTCCAGTAGTCAAGGGACGCCTCCTCCCCAGAGGCCTGTGGCCTGGACCCCTTTGGCCCAATTCAAATTTAGGGGGCGGCTCCTGCCTGGCGGGGAAGAGGGCTCTGACCTCCACCTCCTGGGCTCCGTCTGTCTGTGAGTCTCTGGGAATGGCCACCTCCTGCTCTTTCTCTTTCTCCTTTTAAGTCTCGGTTTCCCCTCTTCCTGAACTACTTCTCTGCGCCTCAGTCTCCGTCCTTCTGTCTCTGGCTCCGGCATCTGTCTCGGCTCCCGGCCTCCCTCTCCCCGTCTCCGCCCCTCCCCCGCGCTGTCATTCACCCCGCTTCTCTCTGCTCACAGCCAATGGAGAGACCGGGTCGGAACGGCTAGGCTCCCTCGCACCGGGCTTTTTCGCCCGGAGATTGATGTCCCAGAGTCAACAGCGAGCAAGCAGCCGGAGAGGGGAAGGAGCAGCCGGAGAGGAGTAGAACACGGCGCCCCCTCTCTCCTTCCCCTCCCCCCTACTTTAGCCCTTCTGCGTACTTCGCCTCCAAGTCTCGGCGCAGCCAGGAAGCGCTCCTGCTTTCGCGCCCCTGCGCGCTGCACCCAGAGAGAAAAAA